AGACATAGGTACATCTAATTTTGTCTAGTTACAAAAAAAGTCCAGACTTAAAACATCCAGTTGTGTCATACAGATGCTCCTTGACTAATGTGGTTACATCTGATAAAGCTGTTGTAAAGTGAAAGCATCATATGTCAAAATTCATATAATACCCTACATACTGGACATCTCAGCTTAGTCTACATTTTATTTATTTATTTATTTATTTGGGGGGATACCAGGAATCAAACTTTGGACCTTGCACTTGTGAGGCAGGTGGCAGAACCAGTGAGCTAAATCCCTGGCCCAATCTACATTTTATTGGACAGAATACTTACATTGGCCTAGAGATGTACAAGCCTATTTTATATACCATTGTTGAAACACTCAAGTAAGTTACTGAACATTTATATCCGCCAGACACCAGTACACTATGGTGTATGAGTTATTTACACTCACGGTCCCTGGTGGCCAACACAGAGCTATGGTTTTGCTGCACCTGCCCAGCATGATGAGAGATTATCATACACATATCATTAGCCTGGAGAAAGAGGAAATTCTTATATACAAAGAGATTTCTTCAATGTGTCACTTCTGCTTCACCAAATGTCTATATGGGGTAGGATTACAGGTGAAGGATGGCTGGTATTACATAGCCCTTACTATGGTTCATAAGGGATGCCTAAGGCTGAAATCATGGTGTGCCCGTGGCTGGCCATCCACCTCTAGGGGCGTGGTAGTTACTATTATGGGTGTCTTGAAACCACCACATGAATTCAGGGATGCCTAGCAAGGATCCTAAATATCAGATGGAATACTGTCATTTGCTAGTGAGCAGTATGACTTGAGACAATATGGAGCTCTGTAAGATCACAGCCACGTGGTGAACACTTGTCACAGCAGCAGCGGCCGAGGGTTAGCTCTAAGCCCAAGTCAGGCAAGTGTAGAAGAAGTAGCACTGGGATAAATCATTAAAATGCTCATGCTGGGGTAGGACATGACCAGGAAGGTGGAGATAGTGGAGGGTCTGTCACTGTGAGCCCAGACTAGTTGTAAACCAAACTGGCACAGGAAACAATTCAGGGCAATAAGCTGGACGGTGCAAGGAAGCAACTCTTGGGCCACATACAGCCTGCTCTGGACCTGGTGAGTAGCGAGGCGGGGGTTGATTTGTCTTCAGATGTCAAGGGAGGGGGAATGAGCCTTCCTGGCAACATGAGACGAGCCAATGTATGGCTCACTGGGACACGACCTTGCTGTTAACTTTTGGAGTCCACTTTGAGTTTTTGTTTTTGGTCCAATTGTCACGCCTAAAGCATTCCTTGTGAAAAACTTCAGGATAGTTCTTAGGCTGCAATTATATGGTAAAGTTTCTGTTCGGCTGCTTTATGCTTACACTAAAATTATTTTTCTGTTCAGTCATTGGGAAATGTCACTCACCTAGTTCTATGTGGAATGTAATTATCTGAGGTAGCTCTTAGATCAAATGACAGCCAATGTCAGTGTGTTTAGAAATGTGTCGTCAAAGGCATGATGATGGAATCAGTACGTAGGACAGAAAGAGACGTATACATGATGAGGGTATATTTTTGGTAAGGATTTTGTATGGTAAGAGTTTGCCTTACCAGACTGAGAAGAGAAACATGAGGACAAAACCAGGAAGTCAAGACAAGCAAATACAAAGCAGTGTAGAAGATAAGCCGTATGAAAAAAATTTGTCTATTTTGTTTGCATTTGTTCTTGTTGGTTTTGTTAAGCCTAAGAGTGAATCCGTTGAACCTCTGTTGCTCAAATGTGGCTAAAGCTATGGAATTGACTCTCATTCTTCACTTCCCCTCCTATGTAGGACCAGAAAAGACCAGTAACTAGAACAGCAATTTAGTGGTGATGGACAGTGGAAGTGGTTAATCAGTGATGCTTTCAGAGAAACTCTCACAAAGACTTCTCTATCTTGGGTCACTGTGTAGCTGTCTAGTGGGCCCTCAGCAGGTGCTGAGGCACTGTGCCGGACTGCAGCATAACAAGGTCCTCATACACTGTCTACAGTGCTTGCTGAAACGCAGAGTTCCTCAGGATGGGATGGGAATGCAGTACACATACCTATCTCAAGGGCTCTAGCCTTTTTCTATCGCTTTTTTGCTGATTGTCATAGAGCCTTACAAATTCAGTTTAGGAAAGGTGATAAGAAACTTCAAGAGTGCTGCAGCAGCATACAAGTAGTCCTCTGCTGGTTAAGTAACCCCTAATAAACTCAGGTGCCAAGCTGAGCTTGTCGGAGTCATGCTTTGTACCCTCTCAATTTGGAGGCAGATGTTTCTTTTACATCTTTCTGGCAAATTAATAGAACAGCTGATGTCTGATATCTAATTTTAAATCACTCTCAGCCTCTTCCATATATAGCAATTTAAATATATTTATAAATTTTTGATACCATTGAATACATGGCTTTCAACACACTATATAAGCATTTTCTCTCTGACCTATACTCCCAGTCCTTTGTTAGTTTCATGCAGAAACTTAAGATTTAGTCTCACTAGTTGCCTGGGTGGCACCAAATATGCTCCTCCTGTCTACCAAGTGGCTGGGATTATAGCCATGTACATCAGGCCCAAATACTTTTAAATAAAAACAATATTTTTTATGAGCCAGTGACCTTGTTCCAAAGGAATAGACGATACTGATCTTCAATTCATGAGGTAAGATCTTTCATTTTATTGATAACTTTTTAAACAGTACTGTTTAAAAGCTTGTTAAAAAAAGGATAGGTTTTAAAGTTCATGTTAAAATTCAAATATAGGTAGCCTATTGTTCTATTTTTTGTTGCTAAGACCAAATATGCAAGGTGCAAAGTTTAAGGAGGAAGTTATTTTGGCTCAGTTTGTAGGTTTCAGTCATGGTTGCCTCCATGGCAAATCAGCCAGAAGGCCGTAAAGCAGCAGCCACACGCAAGGACAGCAGCCCTCTTTTATGCTACCCTGGCTAGCCCCACTAGGGCAGTAGCTCTCACACCTATGGTGGGGCACCCTCAATCCTACCAATGCACCAAGAATTAGTCCCAGTATCACACACCCTGGATGCCGTCCCTTCCAAAACTGCACTTACGACTGCATGAGGCTTTGAGGTATATCTAGATACAAGTACTAACATCTTGCCTCTCCCCCAAAACCTTTAATGGATGGACTCTTATAACCTGAAATTATTTGGCCATTTACAAATGTCCTTGCATCTTTGACATATAGCATGAATATTAACATAGTTTAACTTGTAATTACTCTGCAGTATCCAAGACAGAACTTTAACCTTGGATAGACTGAGTCATAAAAATTGCATGATCTGGAGTATATTTGAGAATGTGAAATAATTTACCATAACATTGTATTTCTAAGGTTTTTTTGTTGTTGTTTTTTGCAGTAGGAATTCTTTGGTGGGTCCTGAGGACACATCTTTAAAGAAAGAACATGTTGTGTTTATGTTGAGACAGGGTCAGTTCAGACTATGGCCTTGAACTTGTGGCTATCCTCTTATCCTCCCCCCTGCTGAAATTACAGGCATGCAGCACCATGCCTAGCAAAAGTGAAGTTTCTAACCTCACTGTATTTGTCTAGTTTCATTCCAGAACAAATCCTTTATGACAACAAAAACGAACATTTGACAGGACTAATTCACTACATCTGTAAAGGTGCTCCCCAGTTCAACAATTCTATTCCTGTTTTTATGTTTGGATAAAAGCCTTTGCATGCCTATTACCTTAATACGGCTTTCTCAAAGATGTATTATTTGATGCCTAGTTAATGTTGAAGCTTGGAAGTCTCTTTTGATTAAGCATATGCCTTTTATAACTATTGCTCTTTAGTAGGCACTGAGGTATTATTGCTTGAATTCAACATGGTTTTGCCACCCTCACTGCATTTCTGGTATCATTCATGTATAAATTCTCTAGTTTTATGCAACGTGTGAATGTGCATATTCATGACATTTTTTTGGTTTCTCTCCAGTACAGGTTATCTGATATGTACTGAAGTATGAGCATAGAAGATAGGTTCTGCCAAACTGATTACATTTTTCTAAGAATTTTCTCAAGGATATATTTGCTAATATGTCCTGAGGCTTGAGTGCATACTCACAGATTTGCCCTTATCATTTAATTTGTGAGCATTCCAGTTTTGAGTTTTTGAGTTAATACTAATGTCTGATTTTCATCTTAAGGCACTGTAACACCGAACAGGTTGGGATTGTTTCTCTCCATTGTGAATTAGCTTATGGTTAGTAACCCTTAAATATAACTCAAGGCTTGTTTCATTTATTACACGTAAAATTATCTTTCCAGCTGTAATTGTTCAGTGTTTTGTAAGACTTGACCAATGACTGAAGATTTCTGCTACATTCATAAGCTTATTCTCCAAGATAAAAATCTAATAAATTCCAAGTTAGACTGTCTCATATGACCTTGATACATTTTTTTCCAGTATAGATTACATACTTGGGCTTAAACTCACACTAATAGCTTTGCTGAACTCACTGAATTTCTAAGAATTCTCTCCCATTGAGACCTTTGGTGCACAAGGTATCAAATCTGACTACAGATCTTAACACTTTCATTATATTTCTAAGGTTTCCTTCCAGTATAAATGTTCCAATGATGTGCTAGGGATGAGATCAGACTAAACAATTTGCCATATTAATTACATTTGTGCAGTCTCTCTGCAGTGTAAATTCTCTGATGACATGCTGGAGATGAGTTTAGGTTGAACACTTTGCCAAATTAATGACATTTCAAAGGTTTCTCTCCAGTGTGAATTATTAGACGTTCTGCCAGATATGAATTACAACTGAAAGTTTTACCATAGTCATTTAAATGTATAAGGTTTCTTTCCAGTATGGATTCTCGATTTGCTATGATTTGTGACTGTCAACTCTGCCACATTCATTACATTCATAAGATTTTTCTCCATCACGTATTTTCAGATCTTGTGGAAGATACGAATTGTGATTAAAGACTAGCACTATTCATTATATTGTGAGGCTTCTCTCCATTTGAATGGTTTGATGTTGTGCAAGGTGTGAAACCTGATGGCAATTTTTCCACATTCATTACATTTTAAGATTTCTCTCCAGTATGGATTCTTTGATGCTTGGTTAGGGATGACTTACGACAGAAAACATTGCCACATTCATTACATTTATATGGTTTCTCTCCAGTATGAACTCTGTGATGCTTTGCTAGGTATGACTTGCGACTGAAGACCTTGCCACATTCATTACATTTGTAAGGTCCCTCTCCAGTATGAATTCTCCGATGATGTGCTAGAGACGAATTCAGACGGAACACTTTGCCACAATCATTGCATTTGTACGGTTTCTCTCCTGTATGACTTCTTCTATGACATTCAAGGTATGACTTTTGTCTAAAGACCTTTCCACATTCATTGCATTTGTAAGGTTTCTCTCCAGTATGAATCCTAAGATGACATACAAGGCGGGAATTGCGACTGAACACCTTGTCACATTCATTACATTTGAATGGTTTCTCTCTAGCATGAATTATCAGATGTTCTGCAAGGTACGAATTACAACTGAACACTTTACCACACTCATTGCATTTGTAAGGCTTCTCTCCAGTATGGATTCTTTGATGCTTTGCTAGGGATGACTTACGACAAAAAACATTGCCACATTCATTACATTTGTAAGGTTTCTCTCCAGTATGGATTCTCTGATGATTTGCTAGGTATGACTTGTGACTGAAGACCCTGCCACATTCCTTACATTTGTAAGATCTCTCTCTAATATGAATTCTCCGATGATGTGTCAGAGACGAGTTTAGACTGAATACTTGGCCACATTCATTACATTTGTAAGGTTTCTCTCCTGTGTGGATTCTCTGATGGCATGCAAGGTATGACTTGTGTCTGAAGACCTTTCCACATTGAGTACACTTGTAAGGTTTTTCTCCACTGTGAATCTTACAGTGGTATGCTAGGTCAGAATTTCTACTGAACAACTTGCCACATTCATTACATTTGAAAGGTTTCTCCCCTGTGTGAATTATCAGATGTACTGCAAGGTATGAATTACAACTGAACACTTTACCACATTCATTACATTTGTAAGGCTTCTCTCCAGTATGGATTTTCTGATGCTTTGAGAGGGATGACCTATACCTGAAAAAATTGCCACATTCATTACATTTGAAAGGCTTTTCTCCAGTATGCATTCTCTGATGACTTCTGAGGTTTGATTTCTGATTGAAAACCTTGCCACATATATCACATAGAAATTGTTTCTCTTCAGCATGGACTATCTGATGCCTAGTGAACTGTGAGCCTTGGTTAAAAGACTTGTCACACTCATTCCATTTGTAAAGCTTTGTACTAATGTGCATCACCTGTTCTTGTGTGAAATATGAAGAACGAAGAAAATCATTTTCATATTCATGAGAAATATTTTTTTTGACAATCAAAGGATTTCTTTGGTTGGATGAAACTGAGGAATCACTGTTGTTAGACTTCTCAGTGTAATTCCAATCACTGAAGTTCTTTTCTCTGTCAAATGGCCGTTTAGGCTGATGTGTTTGAAAGCTTAATCTAGGCCAATTTTTAATATGTTTCTTTCTTGCAGTTCTTCTACCATGTTCATCTCTTCTGTCAGTGAGATTTTCCTTGTGATTCACACAGAATCCTGTGTCAAGTCTTCCACCCTTTCTGTAATGGCACTCAAAGTCATGTATATTTGTCTGGATTTCTTTGATGCACACATCTTGAAGCTCATGGATTTTATGTCTATTCAATGTTACTGTGTGTAACATTTCTCCTGTATCACTCTTCCTTTTTGGTAAAAGTTCCTTGGTGAAACATTTAGGAGACTTATCTATAAAACAGAAGTAATCATTGGGTTCTGATTAATTACAGATGGTAAATAAATTCTATTACTGACACACATGACATTACACCTAGAGAAATAATTATACTTGAACAGTTATGAAACTTAATGATTTTTACTTTTTAGGAAAACAAACCAAAAAAACTCCAGAAAATATCTGATTATATGTAATTCATAACAGCTGCAGAAATGCTGCTTGACATAAACTATAACCCAAACAGTCACTCTGCATAAACTAATTCAATGGGTACCTTTATTGTGAAATTTTTAGTCCCCAAACTTGCAACAAATAAATTTTTGTGATTTAAGCATACTAATCTATGTTATTTCTAATGGAAGATGGAGGTAAATGAGACATGAAAAGGATTCTTTCCTAAAAAGGATAGAAGGTCGATGAGTTGTTTTAATCAAACAAACTGTGAAATACCTATTATAAAATAGCTATTATTAACTAATTTATACTACTATGTTTTTAAAAACCTAGAGCTAAGTTATTACTTTTCAATTGAGGACAGCAGGTCAATAACATTTGTGTTTCTAACACTAAGTGCAGAGTGCTGAGAGAGAAACAGAATTTGTTTCTTGGCTGTATGCTCAGTATGTTCTAAAAGATACCTATTCACACAAGCAGCACATAGTATAATAAATCATAGCAGGGCCGGGGATTTGGCTCAGTGGTTCTGCTGCCTGCCTTGCAAGCACAAGGGCCCGAGTTCCATCCCCAGTATCAAAAAAACCACAAAAAACAAAACAAAAATAAATCATAGCAAATACAAAAAGCACGAAACATATTTAAGAAAAAAGAGCCAGGCTCTTTTGTAACAGTGTCATTCAGCCATCCACAACAGACAATGTTATTTGAATCATTAACAGTCATATATTGATTTACATAGTGTCCTCAGAACATCTAAAGATCAATAGATGTCTAACACTGTCAGGTTAGTGTGGGAGTCCTCTGCAAGTCTAAGTGTGGAGAAGAACAGACATTTATTAAGAAGAAGCAGTACAGTGCATCCAGAACAAGGTACAAGATGAGAAAGCCAACATGGAAAAAGACAAGCATGGAGGGCACTGAGTAAAGGGCATGAGACAGCAAAATTTCTACTGGTAAATCTGTGGGAATGGAGTAGTACTAGGGTAGTTAATATTCCAGCTTCTGCTGTCCTGAATGATGGACATTCAGGCTTTGTTTCTGACCTCCAGAACGACTTACAGGTAAAACATCAACTGAAATGAAAAACATATATTACCACGGGGAACTGGAGAGTTATAATCTCCTTGTCATATGGGTGATGGAACAACTGGTGGTAAAGAAAACCCTACTCTGTGAGTACACAGGATATAAACATTTTCCCACAGACCTCTCTCACTACAGAAGTTTCCCAAATAGTACTTAATGGTGCAGCTTCCTCTCTGGGCATCTCAGCTCCTACCTGTGGTCACACCTTGGACACACTGCCACCGATTTGGCTTTCCAGATACTTTCACCTGGCCATCCACACTCCAGGGCTCTCCTCGCTCCAACACGGAGACAACACTCAGGTCAAGAGAAGAGATTCCTGCTTGGAAAAACAAAGGCATGTGATGTGTGGTGGATTTTCCACACTCCAGCCCTGTTTACCTGAGAAAGAGTGTGACCTACACAAACATTTCACTGTTCTATGTAGGTATCAGCTTCTGCCAAGGATCAATGATTCAAATGCACAAGGATAAAGAATAGAGAACTGGGTATGTTAAGTCTGCTATAAGGCTTCATGCATATTTCAGAACTAGAACCACTACTTTGCGACTTATCCATCACAAAGTGAGCAGAGCACCTGAAGAAAGCAGACAGTTAAGTGCAGATGCTGCACTGGGAAGCTTTACATTTCAGAGAAAACAGGGAATCTGCCTAGGTCAGACAATGCAGAGGATCCCATGAAGACACAGGGGAAACGCAGAGACACAGAGTAGATCTGACTTCTGGAGGAAGCCGTTCTCACCCAGGGAGACCAGGTTCCTGTAGTTCTCCAACATCACGTCCCTGTATAAAGTCCTCTGAGCAGGGTTCAGGCATTTCCACTCCTCCCAGGAGAACTCTACGGCCACGTCCCTGAATGTCAACAGATCCTGAAATGAAAAGTATATATCACCACGGGGAACCGGCGAGAGTTATAATCTCCATAGAAATGAAAAGGAGGGAAATGTAAAAGTCAATTCAACTGAAGTTAGTGAACTTAGATCCATGCTGTGATGTCATTTGCCGCTACCGATGCATTAACACAAAAACATAGCTTCTACAGTTAAAAAGTAAGACTGGGTTTAGGATGGAGCTCAGTTGTAGAGCACTTGCCTAGCATGCACGGGGCCCTAGTTGCAACACTGCCAAAGAATAAGTAAATGGGTGAAATATTTAAGACAATAATGTGACCTTGATAAAAACCATGGAATTGCAGATCCACATACTCAGGCACACTCAATACACTTAAATTAACAAATTTAAAGGAGGTCTCTATGTTTTGTTCGGTGTTTTCTTTTTATCACCACTTACATCCATGTTTATTTCAGGATGTATGGACAATGAAAACATAAAAAAACATACTTTAGATGACAAAACACTAGTGTTTACTAGGATATTTAAAACAGTAAGTGAAAACTTGTAGAGTGGAACCTGAACTCCAATGTCTAATAAAATTTGCACATGAAAAATTCATTTATAATGTATTTAAATTAAGATATCTAGGCATCAGGAAAACGCAAATGAAATTTATTACTATAAGATTAAGACTTTTTTGAAAATCTGTTGTACAGGAATCAAACCCATTGCTTTATGCATGCCACACAAGCATGTTACCTCTGAGCTACATCTCCAGCTCAGAAATTCTTAAACAATACAATCAATTTAACAGATTAAGAGCCAGGGATTTAGCTCGGTAGTGCCATGCCTGCCTGGCAATCACAAGGTCCTGAGTTCAATTCCCAGTCCCCCAAAATTAATTAATTAAAATTAAAAGAATTATTGAAAAATTAAAAAGCAGCCCAAAAATATAACTTAAAAAGGTAAAACCTCCAGGCCTGATATTTCCAAGCATATTTCACCAAACACTGTGACTGGCAGTGAACACTGGATGCACTTCCTCCTAGTGAAGGAGAAAACGGGGCTGGTTGGGCGCCAGCCCATCACTAATGCAGAGCGCCTGAGCAGAGATCAGTAAGGAGGGAAAAGGTCCAAAACAAGAGGGATGGAAGAGGGACAAGAGCTGAATTTGTTGAAAACTAATAGCTAATATGACTATAAACTTGGAAAAAGAATGTTATTTAAATATAGGAACTAAAAATAGTGAAAAAATCTTCCTTCCTTCCTAGCTCTCATAAAACACACATGCACATGACACGTACACCTGACACACCTTACATTTCCATTAGCAAATATGTCACAGCTCTTAAGTAAAAGACACTTCCTGAGCCATGAAATCATGCATCTGTTTTAAAGGACTGATGTAAGCGAGGTAAGAGGAGCAGGAAGCCCCAGAAGTTCCCTCCATCACCGAAATAAGGATTTAACAACAACATAACAACCAACTGCCCTCGCGCAAAACTCAGAATCTAACACCTAAGAGGATGAAATCCTGGGCCAGGGATTTAGCCCAGTGGTGTGGCTGCCTACCTCGCAAAAGCAAGGTCCAGAGTTTGCTCCCTGGTACCAAAAGAGAGAGAGAGAGAAAGAGAGAGAGAGAGAGAGAGAGAGAGAGAGTAAGAGAGAGGCTGAAAGCCTAAAATTGCAAGCCCTGTAGGATAAATATGTAGAAAACAGAAGGGCTCCAGGAACTTCTATAAAGAGACACAATTACATTCATCTGAGAAGAGGAAGAAAGGTGCAGAGAGCCTATCGGAAAATAAGATTGTCCTAAATTTCTCAATATATGAAAGATGGACATACAAATTCCAGAAGATTAGAGTAATCCAACTAGAATAAATCTAAGAGACCTATACCAAAACACACAGTAACGGAAGCATGGGAAGTCAGACAAAAAAGAATCTTGACAACAATGAGAGAAACGTGACTTCCCAGTGAAGTGTGCCCAGAGGAGTGTCAAATCTCTCAGCAGAAATTCTGCCAGCTAAGTGTAACGGTTCATTCACAGCACTGATGGAAAACACTGACAGTTAACAATACTATACCAGGCAAAATGTCCTTCAAAAACGAAAAAAGTGAGATTGGCCAGATACAAATTAAGGGAGCTCATAACCATTAAATGTACCTGACAAGAATTTATTACTTTCTTTTTTCTTTTTCAGATAGGTTCTTGCTGATTTGCCCAGGCTGCTCACAAACGAGATCCTTTTTCCCTATCTGCTGGAGCAGCTGGGATTACATATGTGCAGCAGCTTGCCCAGCCCAAGAATTTCTAAGAGAAATCATGAAGGTGAAAAGAAGAGATGAAAACCATGAAAACACATACAACTCCAGGTAAAGGTATGTAAGCCCTTCACCAGAAATAATTGTGTTAAATGTAAATGAATTAAATGACTACATTAAGACATACAAGGACTAATGATTAAAAAAAAAAAAAAAAAAAAAGGAAACCAAGATTGAACTACACGCTGTAAACAGAGATTCATTTTTCTTCAAAGGACTCACAGAGGATAAAAGTGAAAAGTTGGGAAGAAATGCAAATAGACACCCAAAGAGAAGGGGTGGCTACTCAATATTTTTAACAGCCTTTAAAATAAAAATTGTCACAAAAGAAAAAGGATTTTGCACAACTACCAAAAGGGCAGTTCCCCAGGAGATATGATAATTATAAGCATATACCCAATATTAATCTCCACAATGCATGAAGCAAACACTAACGGAATTAGACAGCAGACAATAATGAGAGGACAATTCACTCTCCATGTAACTTATGGACAGAATAACCAACAAGATCTAGAAATAAACGGAGGGCTTCGACAATACTATGCAAATATGCTCCTTGCAGACCTGTACAGAATATTCTACACAACAACAGCAGAAACTACTACCCTCTAAGCCACACAAAACATCTACTTTATATATCATAGGTTAGGTAAAAAAAAATGTTTAATAAGTTTAAGAAACTTGAAATCATTCTACTTTCTTCTTGTGCACAATGGAATGAATGCAGAAATCCACAGCTGAGGAGATACAAAATTCCACAAACATGTGAAAGTGAAACTTTCTCTCAAATAACCCAATGGTGAAACTAGGAAAAGATTTCAGAAAACATCTGTAACACAAGAAAAATGAAAACAAATGTGCCACAACTTAAGGAATGTAGGGAAAACAACAGTAAGAAGTCTAAAGTAGTAAACTTCATATCTAGAAGAAAGGACACACTCAAACTTCAGTGAAAAACAAAAAAGAAAAACCTCAAAAATACCATAAGCAACAGGAAGGAAAAATTGATATCAGAGTAGAGATAAATGGCACAGCTCCAGATTATTCAATAAAACATTAACTACTTGGAAAGACCAGCAAAAATGACAGGTACTTTCTAGAACCATGACCAACGCAGCCTCCTCACGTGATCCATGAGTGAGGCTGAGGGCAGCATGGTGAGTTCAGCAGACACAGTAGGCTCCAGGATCATGGGAGGTTAGCAGTCCTGTTCAGCACTGCACACAGGAGAGACACAGAACAAGAAAATGAGATCAACACTTTACCTGAATAACAGCCATTCTTGACTCCTTTTCTTTCCTCTTCCTCCTCTAGGCTTCTTCCTCTTGTAACATGAGTTTTTAAAGGTTAATCCTAGCAAGCTGTGGTGGTGCGCAGTTGAGTTCCCAGCATTCAGGAGGCAAACGCAGAAGGATCGTCACAAGTATCAGGCCAATCTACAAGGTGGGATACTGTCTCAAAAAAAAAAAAAAAGTTAATCCTGAATGTCAAAAACATGCGATTTAATGTTCAGAACAAACACATCCCTTTCTGGTAAAACAGCCACCCAACAAAAGATAACCTTGCCATGTGGAAAGATGGGTCCTCTGCTGCCCACTGCACTGAGGACGGAGACGCAGGGATATGTAACTCCTACAGGAGGCCCAACCAGAGACGTCCTTGACACTTAAGAGCTCGTTTGCCTCCTGGCGAAGCCTCAACACCCAGCAGCAGTGGGGAGCTGGGCTGCACCGAGTTCTCCTCCAGGACGTAGTCCCAGCCCTGATCAAACCCATACACAACACATCCCCTCATCCCTCCATGGATCACACACTGATCTCAGCCCTCATTAATGTTGGCCACACTCTCAGGGCCTACTGTTCCACACAGAACAGAGCCATCTTTTATATCTATCAGGCTGGGTCCCAGGCTGACCATGGGAAAGGGACTCTGCTAGGTGCCAAGGCAGACTTATTAGCAAAACACCTCAGCACTCCAACGGGAAGCCAGGGTTGAGCACCACTCAGGAGGTCAAGCTCAGCCCACCTCCCACCTGTGGCTCAGCTCTCCCTTTGGAATCTTGTCCCCACGATCCAGACTGGGAAGAATCAGAAAGAAACTTGCAGAGCAGCCAACATGGACCAGGGGGTGAGTGTGTGGTTAGCATGTCAGTGGAAGGTGGAGAGACCACAAAAATCGCCATGGAGATGCTGATAGCACAGCAAAGACAAAGACCTGGAAGGAAGGTATTTGCCACCTGATGCACCAGTGAGTTCTAAGCTCAGACAGAACCAAAGCAATGTCCTAGGCAAGGAGGAACAGTGTCCCCAGGGAAAGGCAAGAGGCCTGTGTGGCCAGAGCTGAGCAACCAGGGAGGAGGATACTGCAGGAAATGAAGGCAGGGAGGGACTTCCGGAAGCAGAGCAGGTGTGGCTGAGATCTTCTAATACCTCTCTCCCACATCTGAAACAAATTTTGGAAACAGTGGCTTTATCAATCATCTAATATAAAGGCGTGATTTTTCATCCATTTTAAATCAAAACACTAGGGCCAGGGATTTAGCTCAGTGGCACTGCACCTGCCTCACAAGTGCAAGGTCTTGAGTTGGATGCCCGGTACCAAAAAAACAAAACAAAATAAGACTTAAATCAGAATACTTACAAATATTATAATGCATCTTACACTTAAAATACACACAGACGTGTTCAGATAAGCCCCAGAAAGTACAGGTCACCTCTACCTGAGATACAGAGGATTACAAATACGTCATGTGCAGAGCTTAAGAAGTCATACGTGGACTAGGAAAATAGAGGTATCCCGTTGATATCACAGCAGAACTAAGGTGATACCCGGACAAAGGGTTCCAGGGCTTCTGGGAGAGGTCTGCACAGTAGTGAGACGCGCTATGGTGTCAAAGCCATGGAGGAGGTGATAAGAAAGGTGGTGGGTACCGTCAAGAAGAGGTTCAAGTCTAAAGCATGGGACACCTGTCACGTTCGGAAAACAGGGTTCAGGAGACACCAGCAGAGGACACCACGTTGCTGTCTGCCAGGGCTGTGGCAGACACCTCTCCTCTCCTCCAGCTCTACAGCGCCTCCCTTTTCCTGCTCCTCTTTCTACTCTGCTGTCTTCATCTCTCTAGAGACCCACACTGTCTTTCTCTATTGGATTTTCCTCCCCTGCTACTTTCTTGGCTTCTCTCACTCTTAGGATCTCTTTGGAGTCCCTCACCCGTCCTCTACCTGCCATCTCTTTACGGGTCTATTTCTCCAGATACCTTGTCCACTATTCACAGGGAGAGGATGAAGGAATTCGGGACTCAAGAACCCTCAAGTCAGAGGACAGGCCCGAGTGCCCTCCCCCTGCACAGAAGGGAGGCGGCGAAGGGGAGAACCGGGGGGACTGACTCGGCCCGCGAAGGGAGGCTTGGGGCGAGTCCGGGTGCCTCTCACCGTGCCCGAGAGGACAGCGGGATGAGGGTGCTGCGCAGAGAGAGGCGCTTGCGGAGCGCAGAGATTCCGGACAGGGAGAAACTCACGCTGGGTGAGGTGACCTCCTCTCCACCGGATGCACTTCCGGGTTTGCAGGACGCTGCGCGCGCAGCCCAGAGGCCGGGCTTGGGCGGGCAAACGAGAGAGGGGCAGGTCCAGAGGGCGGGGAAACGGCTATGGGCGGGAATGTGGGCGGGGAAACGCGAGCGGTGGGCGGGCCTAGGGGCGTGGGCGGGCCTAGGGGCGGGGAGTCGAGTTCCTCAGGCTCTGCGCCTCCCTCGTGCTGGTCTCGAGGAGGACGAGCGCCTCGAAGCTTCCGTGGCGGGCGCTCCGCGGCTCGGAGGACTTGCAGCCTGTGGAGCAGAAAGTCCCAGGCGCCCTGGAAGCGCTTTTCGCGGGCGAGAGGCGTCTTTATTCCACACCTAGAAGTGTGCAGAGCGACGGAGACCGAGGCTGACAGGGAGCAGGAGAAGGAAGGAAAAAACTCCGTGGACAGGGAGGCCGGGTGGACCTGGGAGACAGAGAAGGGTGGTGTTGGGATAGAAGAGGGACTAGGTGACCGGGCGAGCAGTGGCCAAGCAGGGAGGGGACTTACTGGGCTGAAGGCACCAGAATTCAAGGACGCTTTATTTAAACCTTCTCTTTTGGTTTATATCTCATGTGCTCATAGATACGGCTGTTGGTTTTTTGTTTTGCTGGGGGAAGGGGTACCGAGGATTGAACTCGGGTCCTTGCGCTTGCGAGGCAGGCCTCCGAACCGCTGAGCTACATCCCCGGCACTAGAGATACGGCTTTTGGAAGAAGATTGACTCGAGCGGCTGCTGCAGCTAAATATGATGTTAGCACGTTGGCCTGGTCGGAAGAGGCGGGTCATTAGGCCTTGCCTCCCTCCTCAGCTCTCCCCTTTTCTGGCTGCTTCCCCTCCACCAAGCCCCCTTGCCATGCTCTTTGTCCTTTGGAACCAAGGGACCGTGGATTGAAACGTGAGCCGAAATAATCCTGTCCTCCTTTATGTTGCTAGGGTACTATACCATGTTTTGTCCCAGTGAGGAGAAAGTGACCATGACAGTTCCCTTCTGCTGCAGCTCTAGGAAGCCAGAAACTCCAGAGACAAAGTGAGGGGGAAAAAAAAGACTTTAACTGCCAACACTGTGGCAAGTTGGAAGCTGAGAATTCATTGTCTTGCTTAAAGTTTGCAGTTGAAACGCGTGTATGAGGTTTTGGGAAGATATATTTTTAGTTTTAAATAGGTGGGTTGAGCCCTGGGTTCATATAATTTCCATGGTCTGCTTTCTCATGCACATAATGCTGATTCCTGAAAATTATTTAATGTTCTGCATTCTGTAACAAGAAGTCACTGATTCTAGGAAGTTCGTTTTCCCAGAAACTATACCCTATGTTCAAGTGAAAGTATTAAAAAACTGAAATGGATGAATGTGTCAAAGGTTCTGGGTCAGTCGCCGCCTTCAAAATACCTTCTTCATACTTCACTGTCAAAGCCATCTTTTAATCTGTCTCATCCCATTGACCATGCCCCAGATACCATGCCATCCATGACTGACTACGGCAACTCCAGACCGCCTTTCTTGGACATGTGATGGAATCCATTGCTGCTGGTCCTTTGTCCAGAGATGCAGGCTTCAAGGTTCCAGAATAAGAATGTGGTCCACACTCAGAGGAGAAGTGACCAAAGAGGCTGAAATTTGGAGATCATTAAGGGAAAAATGTGGAAATGGAGTTTTCCAAACCAGAAGAAGAGTCTGTCTGCATCAGGTACAATCCAGGCAGAAAGCTATGTGTGCTGCTTTGTTTTCTTTTTTCTTGTACCAGGAATTGAACTCAGGACCTCGCCCTTGTCCAGCAGGTGTGGCAGCATTGAGCTACATGTCCAGCCCTTATTCGCAATTTTGATGACAAAATCTCGGGCTTTGTATGCTGCTTTCTATTATCTCATGTTATCTGTGTATTTAGCTGTGCATTATGATTTTTTCTAAGGTTTTATAAGAGCCAGAGTTTCTTAAATCTTGCTGACCTGATATCTCTGACAATGAATGAGTCTCTTTTGAAAGAAGTACTCCAGTTTCTGCTAAATCTCCTTCCTTACAGGGAAATGTATGGGAAAGATATATATTAGCACATAAATTTGGGAAGTCTTGGTGTGGGGGGGTAATTTGTGTCTGCAAGACTAAAGGCTTTCTGAGGATTTTGGATCACAGAAAGTTAATCTCATGAATTCCTTTCTGTTTCTATGACAGCTGCCATTCCAGATGTTGAAGAAAAGAGGTGTTAGTTATTTATGGCAATACAGTATGATTTTGTTTTCTTTGAGATTTTAAAACCACTTTGTTGAGGTATGACTGACATATAAAAAGTTTTAGGCATTTAATGTATACAGCCTGATGTATGTGGAGGTAAGTGTACATCCATAAAACTATTATCACAGTCAACAGCATAAACTAATGGAGCACCTCCAAAAGTTTGCTGCTTTTTTCTTTAAGTTTTTATGATTTTCTTTCTCCTTATGTGACAAAAGCCCTTAATATAAGATCTACCTTCATAACAATTTTTTTAATTCATTAAGTTTATTGGTACGTTTTAGGTCTACAATATGATGACAATGATAGCAAATGTTTAAGGGTGCAATATGGTATTGTTTATCCTGTATCTTGTATTGTACGGTACATCTATAGAACTTATTCATCTTTGTGATTGAAACTGGGTACCGTTTCACCAATATCTCATGTCCGCCTCTCTTCAACCCCTGGTAAATATCCATGTGCTTTCTGCTTATGGTAATTTAACTATTTTAGATTCCATATATACTGTAAGTGATCCATACAGCATTGTCTTTCTGGCACCTATTTTATTTCACTTTGTATGTCTTCCAGGTTAACCCACATTGTTACAAACAACAACGTTTACTTCT